TGTGTGTGTCTGTGTGTTTGTGCGTGTGCACCTACACACTGAGACATTTCACAGCTGTGGTCAGCAGTTCCTGGCGATGACTGTGTGAAGAAAACGTTCAAACTGTGAACCTAAGTCTCACATCAGAGGCTCCTCCTCTTCCTGGAAACAGTCATGTGACTCTGTCCAGATCAAAACAAACGACAGATTTATTTCTGTTATTACTACAAATATTCCCTCAGACTGTGAAGCTGTCGAGCTGCCCACACGTGTATTTGTCAGTAAAGCACATTAACCTGCCTCTTTATCATCTTCTACGTCAGTCACATGTTTCTTTGATTCATACAGTGTAACTTCACTGTATGAATCAATAAAAGACACCACATTAAGACTGAATACAGAATATCAAGCTTTAAGTTTGATATTTACTGGTTGTATGTTTCGAACCATTATTAAATTCTCCAGTATGTGACCAGCACTCTCTGCTGTTCAGTCATCAAACTGCACAGAGCTGGATCCTCCAGTCTGTTTAATTAATGTTGTAAATCTCTAATGATGATAATAAACAGTACACAATATAATATCCATTACATTTAAATATATATTAGGGATGTGTGCAAAATAACACTTATTTTGTCAAACTGATCAAAGCCCAACTCAGATTGTTCCACAATCTATGAAAGTTCCCACAAACTTTATTTCTGACATGAACCTGGTCAATATGACGACGACCCACAGTCCAACACGAGAGAACGAGTTTCATTAAACAATAAAGTCATGTAACATTAGTCAAGTTTATTTTTTCTTTTTCTATAAAGATGACTTTACGCAATTGACGCAAACGCCGAGGAGGAGCCTCCAAACAAACATGGCGCCCTTCACGTACAGCAGACTTTCTCATTTACTGAGAACATCCGTCAACAAAGCTGCAGCTTCACGAACAGCGAGCGAAAGAAAACTCGGACCTGCGTGTTGTTTACAGCTCACACGCTGCCAGGTAACGTGACGTCTGCTCCCTCGACAACACGGCTAACGCTAGCTAACAACACGGCTAATGCTAGCTAACAACACAGCCAATGCTAGCTAAGAACACAGCCAATGCTAGCTAACAACACAG